ACAGATCATAAATGGGATAAATAATCAAACCTATCTACTTTGTTCTATCATATGCATGCGACGAAGAACAACCAAGAACAAGAATAAGAAAACCGTAACAACCAAGAACAAGTATAATTCAAGCACAAGTATATTTCAAGAATCAGATTCATCACAAGCACAAGTATATTTCAAGAATCAGATTCATCACAAGTAACAAAACGTAAGAACCAAGAAGAAGAACAAGTATCACAAACGCCAATCTCTATCACCACATCTAAAAGAATCAATCGCAGAAACGGAGAGATCTAATCGTCAATCTAAACAAAATCAACGGAAAATCCCATGACGGATTCCACAAACAGAGAATACAAATCGTCAAAGAGGAAACTAACCTAAATCGGTAGAAGGGAGGAGCACGTACCTTGTTTAGGAGATGAGACGCGTCCGATCAAGAAGCAGAGAAGAGGGAATCGGCCGAGACGCGTCGGAGTTGCTATCGCCCCAGGTATCGCCGCAGAGAAGAGAGAATCGGGAGAAAGAAGAAATGAGCTTTCGCGAAATTAATTTTCCGAACCCTATTTTCGGACTCAACACCGAGCTGACACGTAGCGACCCAAATCCGTTTAGGACGAAGTCCATTGTCCTTAATTAAGGTCCGTTTGCTCGATTATTATTGAATTTTGATTTAAATTTGAACCCAAATCGGTTAAGGACCACCTTAAAAACGCCCGATAATGATGGTCTATATTGTCAAAAGGAAAACCCAATAACCCACTCGTATGCTACAGTCTTCAAACTTTGGACAGAAGAAGTTATATTTATTGCTGAAAAAATGTTTTTAAAATTAAGAATTTGGCTGCTTTTAAAAATATAAAATTAGAGCTTTGAAAAAAGTTAGAAATTCAGAATTTTGATAGTTGAAGTTAAGAAGGTAACTAGGACACAGACCCTACTAGCTAGGTTCTAATAGTTAGTTTGATACAGGAATTTCAAAATGCCCTCAGATATTTAACATTTGGACTTTAGACCCAAAAAAAACGCCTTGAGATACATTCACGATCAATCGAGGAATATATTTATAGCGAAGGTATAAATGACATCCTAAAAGTTTATGTCCGATGATAACGAAAAATCAAGCATATACCAAAATGTCATTATCTATATTTGCTAAAAAGAAAGATAGCGCTTACATTGATTGTTTCCGCCGTTTTGGTCTAGTTAATTCCATAATCAAACGAGGCAATACGATGAACTGTCTAAATATATATATTGTCTCAAAGTTGTGGCTAAGGCAGCTATGCAGTGGAAGGGAAGGAGCCTATAAATCGACCCCTTCCTTCTTTTTTTTCAAAGAAAAAAAGCCCCTTGTCCAACGTAACTGGATTGATTATCTATTAAAGCTATGTAGGGTAACTAGTCCATATTATCGATTTTGTTTAGCTAGCAACCCAAAAAACGCCTACGTTGATGTAAGATTGCGAGCCAGCGAGATTATTGTTCTCTTCTTACTAGGAATAATCAGGACGTTAGAAGTATTCAACTGAAGCTGGAAACACTAATCCAAGTTAAGTATCTTGAAAAATAAAGTCCAAAACAGTTTTAATTTAAGGATCATTGAAATTGGGAAAATGTGGTTGAAGTCGTCGTCAATATAATTAAGACATGTACGTTCCAACCACTTAGTTTAATACCCCTAATGTTTTGTATTATTTTGAATTTTTTTATCTCAATAATTCTCAATGAAGTCGTGTTCACATTCATATTCACACACGTCATTCACACACGTTCACAACATGAGAATATATGACTTGACCCGTAAGCTTTGCTTACTCATCTAAACACAACTCGATGAAATAATGGCATTAGGACTGGGCATTTTATCCGGTATATTTGATTCAATCCGTTATTTGTTTCGATTCGATCCGAAAATTTCGGATATCCGTAAACTTTCGAATCAAAGCAAATACTAAAATTCAATATCCGTTAAAATCGAAGCAAATCACAAATATTAAAATTTTGGAAAGCGGATATCCGATCCGATCCGTAAATATATAAATATATGTATATTTTGATTATATTTAAAATTTTAATTGTATAAAATTATAAAATTATTATTTTAGCACATGATTTTGAACAATTCTATTCAAATTATTACCTATATAAAAGTATTACATAAAAAGAGATAAAAGATTTTTGACAATTATATTTTTTTCTTAAATTTTGTGTTATTATAATTGTAACTTAAACTTTAAAAAATTACAAAATCTATAAATTCACTAGTTCTTTAAA